TTATTAAATACATCTAAAATAAAATTTGGCAAAATTTTGTAATGTAGAAATATATTACTATATTTTAATAATATGCATAAGTATACTATTATATTTTAATATAATATTTGTACATATATATTTGAGCACGACATATTTCATAAACCAATATACACAAATTATCAATTTAATTATAATTACGAAGCAAGACTAATACACAAAATAAATTAAAATGTCTTAACATTGTTAAGCTCCCAACATTAAAAAAAAATCACAAAAAAAAAAAAAAATTCAATCAAACAAAAAGAAAACCTTAAATCTTCTTCTGGACTTGCACCATACACTTCAGTGACGTTTTTGTTGGGATAAACAAAAATTGATTAGTTTTCTTCACAAAATGGTTTCCAACACTTCTTGTTTTCCATCCTTGTACTTCTACGATTCTTCCTCGAATAAATCCCAAAGAAACATTTATATTTTTGGCCAATGTATCCAACAACATCTGCAAATTGCTTGGATATATGCTACACGAAAATTGATCAATGAACAATATATTATTAATTACATATTAGTTATAGAAAATATGAATATAACCTTTGATTTATGAAGTTTCAAGATGCAGTCACATTTTCTACAAATCCATAGACCTTTTCCATATCCAATATTAATCGCTTATAATACATGACTTAGCAGCGTCCATATCTATAAATCATTAACAAACAAAAAACAATTGTTAGAGATATCATGTATACACATATGTAAAAGACGGAACAAAAAAAATAATGTAAATTTAATTATGATCAAGTAATTATCATGAGCATAGAAACAAATGAATCATAATGACTTATTTTGTCGGAAAAAGACATAATTAATATCGGTGTTATTTTATTTTCCCATAAACTGGAATACAAAAACAATGTAAAAAAAATGTAAAACATACACATTATTCCCCAAAAACGAAGAAGGCAATTTGATCGTTTTTCGATATCAGATTTTTTCATGTCTCCTTGTAGTATCACTTCTTGCATTCCTTCATAAATTTCGGCAGATAAATCTTTCCGCAAATGACCTGATTTGAACATCTAATAAAAAATAAAAATAACAATTAATTATCAAACAGAAATGCAAATGGTAAATATTAAACTGAAAACCATACACAAATAAAAAAATATTTTTAGGGTATAAACAATAATATAAAAAAAACGAAAATTAACTAAAATAATGAAAGAATAGAATTAGGGTATAAAACCTTTTTTCTTGCTGTGTGCTTTGTTATATGAATGGGAAATAATGGATGTGGAGTGAGCTATTTATACTTATGTTTTATGTAATAAAAGATAAATAATATATATCTTTAAGGAAATAAATTATATGCATTAAATTGATACAATTAAAATTATGTCATTTTAGTATGTAAGATTATAATTCAATATATTATGGATTGAGAAATATATTGTTACTAAAACAATGTAGATCTTTACAAATTAACCATAGTTAAAGAAATGTCATTTAATGGTTACCATAAAATATATATATCATTATGTAATATGTCATTTATTATGATATATAATTATATATATATATATATATATATATATATATATATATATATATATATATATATATATATATATATATATACGTACCAAATCTTATTTTAACATAAAATATGATTAATTTGTTTTAATAATTATTATATAACATAATTAATGATTACCATAATAATATATATAATATTACGGAAATATTTAATTCTCATAAAAAATGTCATTTATGGCATTATGATATATTCTAATATTACATTATGAAAAGTTATAATTAAATAGACATTAAATATGTAATATGTAGTGACACATGGATCATGATTAGGATGCCTACGTGGATGGTGACATGGATGACACATGTCGTAATTCTAGAACTAGGTTGTTTGTGATTGGTTTGGTTCCGTAAGAACTTGTAGACTCACGAAAATACCTAATGATAGAGTGTTGTTATCAATTATCATGATAATTCATCTTATACTCTGCTCCAGACATTTGACTGTTTTAACCATTTTCTTTTTCTTTTTTCTTTGTCTAGATTTTCCGACCCCTTTATCAAGACTGGAACTGCGACAAATATTTGTCTTCTTCTATTAATTCCTGGGTGCAGTCTTCTCCCTTTGAGGTAAGACACTCGCCATTTTTGATATTTCGTAAAGAAACCATCTCGAAGTATATCAATACATTCTCGTGTTTCAAAAAAAAACAAGAAAATCATATTTAATTTGTGAAGACAGTTCTATTACTCGAATAGGATATCTTTGGCCATTTCAAAATCTTAATTTGAAACTAATAAAGAGCTTCTCATATGTAAAATATTTTTGTGTGTTTTAAGGTTCAAGTCATGAGGATAAAACGATGCCCTCCAGAAACAATCAAGATTGTCCAAATTCCGACAGGAAGGTAAACGTGACCAACACATGCAATTGCAACCCGTGCCGGGTGCAGCTATCATGCCCTAAATATGAGACAGTTGTGGTTAATAAGGATGACCAATCCATCATTTCTGAAATCGACAACAACCTTTGAGCGTTTTTGATATGTTGGCGATCGTATCGAATTTTTACTCTACAGCTCGTTCGCATCTTGCTCCTAAACCCTAGTGTTCCTAGTTATATATGTCATCCTACATTTTTCATATGTTCTTTTGGGTGAAGAAATTACTATAGTATTATGTTTCTTGAATAGTGGTATTATACTAATTTTGAATATTTATAATATATTTTCTATACTCATCAGTCTAGTTCAATTTCAAAGCAGCTAACTCAAGTAAGTTCTGTTTGATTCGCTGATTTTGAAATGATAAAAATGAAAATGCAAAAGAAAATAAAAACAATACATATACACAGTAGCTAAATATTGATTAAGAAAAATCGTCTTCTTTACCCTTGAAGACGTGTTTGTTAACAAAAAAATGACCAATCTTTTAGGTGCAAATATACAAAGTTTGACAAGTATTTTATTTAGAGTAAATAGCACATAGCCCCTTGTGGTTTGACCGTATTGTACCTTACCCCTTCTGGTTTTATTTTAAGCACATAATAATCCTTTAGCAGGAAAAAGACAGTAACTACTAGGTTTATTTGTGCTTCTTTCTCGTGCAAATTATCCCATTTACGGGTGAAAGTCAGATGGATTGGATAAAAATAAGTCTTTTCGGAAAATTTGTAAAAAAATTCGAAAGTACAAAATCAATTCCAATTTCAATTCCAAATTTTTCACAATCTAAATTTTCATTCAAATTCCAAATCCAAAATTCCCGGAAATTTTGAAGTTTCGGAAAAAAATCGGAAATCAATAAGCTTTAAAATGTCAAAACTTAGCGGATTTTTTTCGGAAAAAATCGAATTTTTCGAAATTAATTTTGGACATTAAACCGGATCCGAAATCAGAAATTCCAAATTTCTTTTATATAATTTCAATTCCAATCTAATAAAATAGAAAAATGAAAGTTGGAAAGAGAAAAATTGTACCAAAATTGTAATTTTTCGGATCAAAACCAACGGAAATTGAAATTTCCTTTCCAACTTAGACCCCTAATCCCATCCGATCAAAATAATGACCAAATATTAATAAAGGGAAGAATAAAAAAACGAAAAAAATCGAAACTTGGAATTTCAGAAATTGAAAAAAAAGAAAAAAAAAATTGTGCGTGAAAAAAGAGAGTGGGGTGTTTTATCAATTAATTAAAAGCTGCGGCTATATGCAATACTCATTCCACTTGTGTAAGACCAAATTAAAGAAAGATTCCAAAAGATTCTATTTTATTAAGATGGAATGACAAGTATGCCTAGGGGTGTAAACGAGCCGAGCTCGCCTTATTTCGTGAGCTCGAGCTTGAGCTCGCCAAGGCTCGAGCTCGAGCTCGAGCTCGAGGAGCCTATAAGTTTTAGCTCGAGCTCGAGCTCGCGCTCGAGCTCGTATACGAAACGAGCCCGAGCTCGAGCTCGCGAGCTCGAGCTCGGCACAACCAAAAATCCATCCATCAAATTTATTTTTTCAATTAAAAAAGTAATATTATTCTTTTTTATTTATTATTAATAATATCTATTATTATATATTATTAATATGTATTAAAAAATATAGAGAAAAGGTAAAGCTCGCGAGCCTGCTCGCGAGCTGTCGAACAACTGAAATGAAGCTCGAGCTCGACTCGTCGAAAAGCTCGGGCTCGTGAGCTCGAGCTCGAGCTCGATTTTTCGAGCTCGAGTACGAGCTTTTTTCGAGCAAGCTTCGGAAGCTCGCGAGCCGGCTCGTCTCATTTACACCCCTAAGTATGCCCATAAACTAAATTGGTTTTTTTTTTCTCATGTAAGACCAAATACAAATAATGAGAAAAAAACAAAAATCGACACCAAGGTGTCGAAAAACTATGCTACAAATCGACACTTAAGCGTCGAATTTCATAGGTAAAAATCGACATTGACATGTCGATTTATAGCACAAATTCAAATGTCGAATTTTATACCTCAAAATCGACATCTAAATGTCGAATTTTATACCTCAAAATCGACATCTAAATGTCGATTTTTACCTGTAAAATTCGATCTGTACATGTCGAATTCGTTTGCGCGGGATTTTTTTTGGAAAATCGATATTCTAGCTAAAAAACCTATAAATGCATACATTCTTGGGTTCTTCCATCGTAGAATCTTCTATTTTGATGTCTTCTGACTCCATACTTGCCATCTTTGTAAGATTTGTTGAGTTTTGATGATTTTGAATTTCTAGGTTTTGTGGGTTAATGGAGGAGGAAGGAGAAAGGTCTTGTGGGTTTTGGTAGATGGAGAAGATGAGAGTTGGTCTTGTGGTTTTGTGGTCTTGTGATAGGGTTTTTTGTGTTTTTGAATTTTTGGTCTTGCATATTTGGAATTTTTTATTTTTTTAATAAATAATGGTATTATAGTATTTATACATTGAAAATTTTAATTTGGTCTTGCACAAGTGGAATTAGTCTTGCATATAGCCGCAGCCTTAATTAAATGTCCGAGTTCTAGGTTTTGTAAAAAGACAAAATTGGGGGAGTGAATCCTCAAACCCACCCAAAACCCCCCCTAAACCTCCCTGCCGTCGTATCTCCGCCACCACCGCCGCTATGTGGTACCTATGCGTTTTCTTCCACAGACTGTTGGAATACAGGAAATCCGAGTTCGAATCCCTCGCCGGACTCTTTGAAGGTCGCGGCGGCGCCACCGCACTCGAATGGCGGCTCCCGGAGGACCACCACCCGGACTCGCCTTTCCATTTCGTCAACCTTCCTTCCGATGAATTGGCCGTTAGCATTGCCAGTCGAAGTAAGTACACTCCTTTATCAGTAGTTTTGAATCGTTCCCAAATTCAAGCATATATGTTTGCTGATTTTAGCAATTGCATTTTATCTATACATTTTTTTTTTAAATTATTATTTTTATATTTATTTATTGGTTATTGAAGTATATAATATATCGCAGGTATTCTTGTGAAGGGAATATATGAACTGTGGGGTGAAGGTGGGAGTTTTGAGGAACTGGAGGAGTCTATTAAAAGCTATCCAGATGACCGGAAGTTGCCGTACATATCTCCCGGGAGCACGTTCAAAATCACCGTGGAAAGCTTTGGGAAAGCGATAAGCTCCGAAGAGCAAAAAGATCGCATGCACAAGTTGGAATTCATTTCGTTTAAGGTTTCATTCTAGTAATTTTTTCGTTGTGAAATCTTGATAAAACTAATGATATGCAAGCGATTCGGCTGCGACGAGTTGGACCATGTCCCTGTGTTTGTGTCGTACGAAATGAATGGTTCTTTGAAGGGCCCTCGTCTAAACGTATTGATTGGAGATTGAATTCACTCATTATATCCCAAAATGACTATAACTTCTTCTAAAGGGAAAATGTTTTTTTTTTTTAATCTTCTAATTAGCTCATTTACATTGGAAAGAAGCTTAGGTTCATATCTACTTTCTATGGGTACCCGTTGCATAGAGTTATATAACGAATTCCTGATGAATATTGAGAATAAAGGAATACACTAGACAATGTTTTCTGTGGGAAGTTGTTGGAGTTGCTTCCGATCTGTTATTACGTTTGTCCATTTGATTTACAGTATTAGCAAGAACTACCTAAAGTTTCACATATGATATTAAGAAGTACCCGTTTGGATTTTGTCAGAATGCGCTCTCTGATAGTATAGTTACCCTCTTACGTTTTATCTGGCTCCTAGTTATGAAGATTAAGCAAGACGAGTTTCATTTTTTTTTTTTTTTCCTGTTTGTGTTTGTATGCCATTCTCACCAACTTCTAAGTGAATATTTTTCAGGGGAGGGTGAATCTAAAAAATCCTGATCATAGATTCTGTCTGATGGCCAACAATGATTATGGATCTAATAACGGGCTTCCTTCTGCTGTCCAAATGAGAATGTTCTTTGGAAGGGAATTAGGAGGTGCCGATAGAAAGATCTTGCAAACTTATGAGCTGAAAAGCCGCAAATATCTTGGCCCGACAGCCATGGATGCTGAAATAGCTTTCCTAATGGCAAATCACGCGCAGGTCAAACCGGGGAAACTGGTTTATGATCCTTTTGTCGGTACAGGAAGCATCCTGGTTGCAGCGTCTCATTTTGGAGCAATGACAATGGTTAGGATCTTTTATTTGTTGCAAAACTCATTTTTTGTCATATTTAAGCATGTTGTTTTCTACTTAATCGTACTTTTTTTTTTCTCCACTTTCACTGATGTGAACGGTTCAGGGTGCAGATATTGACATTCGGGTAGTGCGTGATGGTCGTGGCCCTGAGTGTAATGTCTGGAGCAATTTTAAGCAGGTTCTTGCAGATTTTTATTTTTATTTACTTAATTTTTTTTACCTTTTCATGTGCCTTTTTTAATGACTGCTTCGTGTCATGATTTAGTATCACGGGTCATTGGCAATATTTATAGCCGTCATGTAGTCATTGAAATGTTTTATGGAGTTGAGACTCATGGAAAATTATAAAGTTTTCAAGAAGTTATAATGCTACTGTTTGGCTTTCATTTATTATTTTTTAATTTTTTTCTCCGTGAACCTGATTGGTTACATGTTTCCACTTTGTACAGTATGGACTTCCAATGCCGATATCTCTATTAAGGGCTGACAATAACCTTCCACCATGGCGTTCAGGTTTAAAAGAGGTAACTTTTTTCATCCAATGGTTGTACTATATCTCGTAATATTATGCTTTCTTCAATTGTCACCCTAATGTTTGAATTCGAAATTTTGATGTGCTTTTGACTGTTGTCACAATTGACCGAAACATAAGAAGAAGAAAAAAAACATATCTTTTACTGTTTATTGCTCGACGAGGTTTATTGTTTATTTACTTATCTAAATGCAACTAAATTTCCTATTGATTAAACGAGTCCATTATTTTTCATTATTTTTTTTTCTTCATTTTTTGAATCTTCCTATGTTTCTCGCAGATATTTGATGCAATAATATGTGATCCTCCATACGGGGTCCGCGCAGGGGGGCGAAAGTCCGGTGGGCGTAAGCTTCTAAAAGGAGTAATCGGTCCTTACACAGTTCCAGACGATAAAAGAACCGATCACATACCATCAACCGCTCCTTACAGCTTAGTCGAATGCGTGCACGATTTACTTGACCTTGGTGCTAAAATGCTTGTAATGGGTGGGCGCCTCGTGTACTTCTACCCCATTCTAAGGGACGAGGGTTCGGGCGAGCCCACTTTCCCCGAGCACCCGTGTTTCGAAATGATCGCCACGTGTGAGCAAATCTTGAGCTATAGATACAGCAGGGTTTTGGTAACCATGGTTAAGGTTGCACCGTACACTGAGGATATCGAGTCTGCTGCTAGGGCTCAGCATTTGGAGTTTAGAGAGAACCATAACAAGTGGATGGAAGATGGGAATTTGCATTCGGCTGTTTTTAGCCCGGTGGATGACGTTAATGTTAACGGATCAGGGGAGAAGTTTAGCTCCAAGCCTAAATACCGGGGCAAATACGTTTAGGCTTTGATCTTCTAGCTGTAACAATAGCTAAATACATTATTTGTGTTGTGTATTCTGGGTTTTTTTTTTTTAATGTAATGTTGTCTTGGGAGGGTTTAACTATTCAGAAATTTTTGTTAGAAACGACGAGATTGATCGATGGTTTGAAATTACGGTTCTTATGTATCTGTCTGAAAGCTTATGAATAGTTCTTGTTAAAGTTAATAATGTGATTAGTATCCACTTTAATAACTTATTATGTGGTTAAACAAATCGGAAATGACGCTTTTAACTATAGGGTCTCGAAAATGCTCCCTGTGTTCCACAATAATGGTGGGTTTAGAAAAACATAATTTACGATTATCTGTCACTTTAGAATTCTGATATTGCATTAAATACATTTTTTTCTTGTTTTACAAATATTTATTCAATTATAATATTAATTCTCTCTATCCCATTATTAAATGATTAAATTTATTTTAGTCTTTTCAATGCATATTTTTTTCTTTCTAAAATCAAGAAACATTTATCGAAATTTTTAATACTTCTGCAAAACGGAAAAACACTAATATTTAGGAATATAGGGAAGTCATTTAAGAAAGGTGGTTGGGTTGGTAGAGTAGGGAAGACTTTTGTGCGTGTAACTGTAAAATAGTTAATAATTAATATAGAACTCATCTCTTTATCTACAAATTTATGAAGAGAATAATTAATAATCACTCAATCGCATATATGAACAAAAATACATGCAGAAGTAAGTCTTTTTTTGACACATTGCAATTTCTCACTTTGTTGCTGGCATTTTTAGTGTGGGAGACCTGCTGACAACATATACTTTAATTTTATTCCAATCTTTTTGACTTATGTGCCCTATTTTTCAGCTATATATTATTTAACTTTTTTTTTACCACAATTTATTTTAATTAATAAAAGTTCATGTTGATTTCTTCAGGTATATATATTAATCTTCTCTTCATCTTCCTCATCATTTAGTTTTACATTTCCTTTCACCAAATTACAAATATATATAGGATTAGTAATAAACATATATATATATTTCACCAAAGAATGGTACGTAGTTTTCGGATATTAGTAGCACTTGTGATTATTATTACAAGTTATTGTTCATTTGATGTCTCACAAGGCGGCGGCGGCGGCAACAACCAGCTCCGAGTGGGGTTCTATGGCGGCAGCTGCCCCAACGCCGAGGCTATAATCCGCGGCGTTGTCAGCGAAGCCGCCGCCTCCGACCCAAACAACGCCCCCATCTTGCTCCGGCTTCACTTCCACGACTGCTTCGTTGAGGTCATTTTCGAATTCTCACACTTAATTGCTTCGTTGAGGTCATTTTCGAATTCTCACACTACTATGAAGAAAAAAAACTTGAATATTTTTTTTGAGCAAATATGATATAATGATATATATGTAAGTATATTATATTCAGGGATGCGACGGGTCGATTCTGATAGATAACCGTTCAGAAACAGACGAGAGACGAGCTTTTGGACACCAAGGGGTGCGAGGGTTCGATATAATAGACAAGGCGAAGGCTCAACTCGAAGGCGTTTGCCCCGGGGTTGTTTCTTGTGCTGATATAGTTGCTATGGCCGCCAGAGATGCTGTTTTCTTGGTATTTAATTAATTTTTTTTTTTATATAATTAATTATATGGATTTAATGAAATTAAAATATGTGTAGGCAAAAGGGCCGTGGTACGAGGTTGAAACAGGGAGGAGAGATGGTATGGTGTCGAATATAAGGTTGGCTGATAATATGCCAGATGTCGGTGATTCTATTCACAAACTCAAAGCCAAGTTTTTTGAGAAGGGCCTTACGGACAAGGATCTTGTGCTTCTTAGTTGTATGTATTCTTGTATCTATATATTCATCTCTCTCTCTCTCTCTCTCTCTCTCTCTCTCTCTCTCTCTCTCAGAGGCAGCATTCGCATGGTAGTACGGTAATACATGCAGAGTTTGTGGCCTTTGTAGTCGGTGGGCATCCGAATCATATGATATGAGTTCGTCGGGTGGAAATTGGAACCGAATTTCTACTAATTTTCGCCCTAAATTAAATTTTACGATATTTAAACAATACTTTTTATTCTTTTTTCCGATTTATTTGTTTATCGGAATTGGAATATATACAGGATTTCAACTTTCGATCCGATTCTAATTTTTGAAAATAATTTCGATTTTTTTTACGGAAATTACACTTGCTATGTATTTTATATTTTAGGTCAATGAAAATTTATAATTTTTCGAATTTCGTCAATTTTGATTCGAAATTCCGACTCTTCTTTATTTTTTTTAGCATAATTGGAACAAAAAATCGCTTCCGAAAAAAGAAAACTCTGATTTTAATTTTCAAAAGTACTAATTTTGGTCATTTCCGTCCGATTTCTAAATGTTTGACACTATCATAAACATTCTTTCTGGCAAACTCAAATAAATATACATTTGAACTTCGATAAATTAATAACGTCGCTTTCGGATAATCTAGTCTTTCACTAAATTAATAAAATTTTATTAGTCTCAATTGTATTAATGTGTTGTAATTTTTGTTTTATAATCTTAGCCGCGCACACAATCGGAACCACGGCGTGCTTCTTCATGAACGATAGGCTCTACCACTTTCCGGCCGGCATTGGGGGCGCCGACCCCTCCATAAACCCTAGCTTCATGCCGGAGTTAAAAAACACGTGCCCAGAGAAAGGTGACGTCAACGCTCGGATTCCAATAGACCACGGCAGCGAGAAGACATTCGACAACCAAATACTGCAGAACATCCGATCGGGCTTCGCCGTGCTGCAATCGGACGCCAGGCTGTACCAAGATCCGTCCACGAGAAGCGTTGTGGACTCCTATTTCGGGCTGCTCAGCCCGTTTTTCGGCCCGTCTTTCGAGGCCGATTTCGCTGCCTCGATGGTGAAAATGGGGAGGATCGGTGTTTTGACGGGAGAGCTCGGCACAATCCGGCGCGTTTGTTCGTCTTTTTAGTTGATTAAATAAATTTTTAAAAAAAAATTGTGGTATGTGCATGAATAGATAGATATTAGAGAGACTCGAGATTTTAGCAGTTTCTGCAAATTGAATAAACAATAAAATTTATTGTTTTGCTCATGTGAGTTTGTTTTGTTTGTAAATGTGAAAATGACAACAGTTTCAGCTGTCACATTATTAATTTTTATTTTTATTACTTGCGTTGTTGTAAGTGTACTTTCACATGATGATGTGATAGAAGAGAATAATGCTAAGAAACTACATATAGTATTAATATTGTATCCGTGTCGAAAATTATTTATGGTATGGTAACATATTTGACTAACTATTAAAAGTAGTACAAAATATATTTATATCATATAATAAAAATATAATTAACATGTCAAACTTAATATTTTAAAGTAAAATCATTCATTCAAAATATTGTCGGTTTAATTACCTTGATAATATAAATTACTTTCGATTTATGTGATGTAACAAATTTGTTGGTTTTGATAGAGGTAACAATAAAACTTATTTGAAACATTTTTTTTGGATTTGTCTTAATTAAAAGAACAAAAATTATATAAAAAAAATGTGCTGAAAATCGCACAAATCACCCCCAAAGTAGGCTGAAAGTAGACAAATCACCCCAAAACAGATATCATAAATATGTTTTGTACCGCGATATTGTATTGTATTGCGATATCGAGCGATGTTTACTGCTACTTGATTACAATTGATCCATATGCCGAGTTGTATAGTTTCTATAGAAATCGTATCGTATCACAATAAATATCCCGGTATATCGCAGTATTGACTACACTGATTACTCCCGTTCATGTGTCTGAGATTAAGTTTAAATGGTTGGATATAATCTTTTTCTACTTGTGTTCAAGTTCATGTACATTAGGCATAGGGGTGAAAGTCGGATGGATCGGATCGGAATAAGCCTTTTCGGAAAATTTCCAAAAAAATTCGGAAGTACAAAATCAATTCCAATTCCAATTCCAAAATTTTCGGAATATAATCTAAAAATTCATTCCAATTCCAAAAGGCCCGGAAATTTCGGAATTTCGGAAAAAAATCGGAAATCACATAAGCTTTAAAATTTCAAAACTTTGCCGAAATTTTCTAAAATGTTCATAATTTTTTGAAAATAAGAGCATCCACGTCGATAAAAGTAAAACTAATAACTAATCAATTTCAGTTCAAGAAAATAAATAAAAATAAACACAACATAATATCCAATAAAACTTCTAACAAAAATTCATTATGTCAAAATCCTAAAACAAAACTTATAGGTGTATTTTTCGGAAAATAAGTATTATGTAATATATACTATTTATAGGTGTATTTTTCGGAAAAAGTTCGGAATTTTTCGGAATTAATTTCGGAATTAAATCGGATCGGAAATCGGAAATTCCAAATTTATTTTATATAATTCCAATTCCAATCCAAAAAAATCGGAAAATTTCGGAAATCGGAATTTCGGATGTCGGAATGAAAAATTTTATTCCAAAATCGGAACTTTTCGGATCGGAACCGGCGGAAATTGGAAAATCCGTTCCAACTTGGACCCCTAATTAGGCATATAATCTAATGTTTATAGTTTTGATTGGTCAAATATGTGGACCTAGTTCAATTACTATTTTATATTTCATGCAAAAAATATATTGTAATATAAAATCCGAGGTACATTAAACACCAGATTATATTTACCCTTCACTCCTTGGCAACTCTACACCACAAACAAGAATCCCTTTTTAGACTACCATTGCCCATCCGTACTTCATGCTAAAATTCATGTTCATCATTGGTTATTTCTAACACTATCCAACAATACAAAAATTTAAATTTAAAGGGCAGAGCACCAAAAAGAGAGAGAGAAAACAATAGAGGAAGAAGGGACAAAGAAAAACAAAAAAAAAAACACAAAAAAAAAAAGTTTTTCATTGCAAAATAAGTCCCACTCTCTTCCTCTTCAAATCCACATTTCAATATCTTTTCACCCAACATTCAAACAATTCCTCTATATAGATTAATTTGAGGAGAAAAAAAAATAGAAAAATAATGTCTCCGAGCAAGATTAGAAAAGCCATCGGGGCGGTGAAGGACAAGACGAGCATCGGCCTAGCCAAAGTCGGAAGTAGCAACTCCCTCTCCGATCTCGAAGTCGCCATCGTCAAAGCCACGCGCCATGAGGAGTACCCTCCGGACGAGCGCTACGTCCGCGAGATCCTAAACCTGACGACCTACTCCCGAGCGTTCGTGAGCGCATGCGTCTCCACCATCGCGCGGCGGCTCAACAAGACGAAAAATTGGGTGGTTGCCCTGAAAGCACTCATGCTCGTCCAGCGCCTCCTCGCGGAGGGGGATCATGCGTACGAGCAGGAGATCTTCTTCGCCACCAGGCGTGGGACCCGCCTCCTCAACATGTCCGACTTTCGCGACACGTCCGGCCGGTCCAACGCCTGGGACTACTCCGCCTTCGTCCGGACCTACAGCTTGTACCTCGACGAGCAACTCGAGTTCAGGATGCAGGGCCGGAGGGGGAAGCGGAGCGGCTATGGGTCCCAGGCGGAGGAAGAGGAGGGCAGGGGTGGCGGCGGCGGCGGTGGAGCCACGACCACCGCCCCCACCTCCAATGCCGTGGTTGTGCGGGCCACCCCCATTCGTGAAATGAAGATCGACCGAGTTTTCTCGAGGATTCATCATCTCATGCAGCTTCTTGAAAGGTTTTTAGCTTGCAGGCCAACAGGTATATATACTGTTGGAAATATAAATATTAAATGATTCACCTCACGAATTAATTTTTGGTTCATGATCGATCGGCCTCTTTCGATATGTTAATTTGATTTTCCGAAATTCAGGTGCAGCAAAGGAGAACAGGGTTGTTAGTGTGGCTCTCTACCCTATCGTGAAAGAAAGTTTTCAGCTATGCTACGATATAACGGAGATTATGGGTGTCTTGATTGACCGGTTCATGCAGCTCGAGGTAGCCGACATGGTGAAAGTCCACGAGATTTTCTGCCGAGTCTCGAAGCAGTACGACGAGCTCGACACCTTCTACGTCTGGTGCAAGAGTTTCGGAATCGCGCGTGCCTCCGAGTACCCCGACGTCGAGAAAATCACGCAGAAGAAGCTCGATATGATGGAGGACTACATTCACGAGAAGTCTGCTATGGTGAACACCAAACGAGCCGTAAGTGCAGAGCCACAGCCGAAACCCGTCGAAGAAGAAGCGGGGCCCGCAGAACCCGAACCCGAACCAGAATCCGAACCCGAGCAGGATATGAATGCCATCAAGGCATTGCCACCGCCAGAAGGATTCGTAGAAGAAACTAACGAAGTAGAGGAGACGAAAGAAGAGAATATCAAGAAAACTTCAGAAGAAGGAGATTTGTTGAACTTGAGTGCCGACGCACCAAGCACACAAGAACAAGGAGACAAATTGGCTTTAGCCTTATTCGACGGCGGTCTACAAAGTACAACCACCGCTCCGGGGAGTACAACCACGCCCTGGGAGGCCTTCAAAGAGTCGTCGGGAGATTGGGAGATGGCGTTGGTTCAATCCGCCAGCCACTTGTCGAACCAAAACCCATCTCTTCCGGGCGGTTTCAACACATTGATTCTAGACGGAATGTACCAACAAGGGGCGACAGCTCATGCGGTGGCTTCCTCGGGCCTCGTGGCCACCGGGAGCGCCAGCAGTGTCGCCCTAGGTTCAGCCGGTAGGCCCTCCATGCTGGCACTGCCGGCCCCACCGACGGCCGACGGCGGGGCCCACACGAATTCCGACCCTTTCGCCGCCTCACTCGCAGTGGCTCCGCCGGCGTACGTGCAGATGTCGGAGATGGAGAAGAAGCAGAGGTTGCTCGTCGAGGAGCAGATGATGTGGCAGCAATACGCAAGAGATGGGATGCAGGGGCAAGTAGGTTTATCCAAAGTACAACAGAATCCATATCAAGGCATTAATGGAGGTTACACCAGAACATACTAAACTTACATATATGTATTTTTGTTTATAGAAGCGTATACAGACGAATAGATCGGTGTTTCTAAGATAGCGGTTTTTGTTGTAGTCGTACGTCGAAAAAAGCCAGAGAGAGAGAGATATTTCTGTGTGCAAGTTGAGGTGAAAAAAAAGAAGTGACAATGTTAATATACTCGTGTTACGTTTATTTTTAGAAGCATAGAGATTTTCGAGTGTGTTTCCGTATCTCGATCATTGTTTTGATTTAAGTATTAGTCGACAATAATTGCAAAGATTAATGTACATTCAAATAGAAAGCCAACAAGACAACGAAAAGGCCAATTTCGAAAGTCGGAGAACAATAGAAACGAAAACAATGTACATGCACTCTAGTCGGTCTTTTTGTTTAATGGTTAGTTTCATGCACATGCACCACACACGATTTCCACCTTTTCGGCAACTCTAGCGTTGCTTAGTCGAGACTCCCAATTTCATTCCCATCGAAACCAATGTCTCGAGTGCTCTTGAACTGTTTTCCAATAGGTCGTCGTCTATCTTTATTGTGTCCTGCAATAATTCCCATATAGTTTGATCGAAAACTTTAGAATATGTTTTGGGAGTTTATTTGGTATATTTAGATAAAGTTTTGGACACAACGAACCTTCTCGAAAACACAAATAACCGTGCTTCCGCCGAACGAGAAATATCCAAACTGCACGAGAAATTAACGAGAGAATATTAAATTTTATCCAATTCAATAGTGAAATTAAACGATGCATAACCGATTTATTATTATGAACCTCGTCTCCTTTCTTGACACAGTCGCCTTCCTTTTTAGTGAAAGTGATACTACCAACCATTGTTGCTCCGATAGCAACAAAAGCAACCTGCACTCGAGAATATACTCTTTTCACTTACACTAATTTATATTTAAATCATAAACTAGTAAAATAAAATATTAGCAACGACAAACCTTTCCGAATTCCTCGGTCGAAATTACAGATACGACACGTTTGTTTTCAGTGAACACGTTACAGTACTTGCTGTTCACTGCAATTGGGTTAACCTTGAAAACCGAAACGAACATAAATAAATAAATGAGGATACATCGAAAGATAAACGAGATATTCGAAAAAAAAAAAACAAATGTGCAAGAATAATAAAAAAATAAAAAATACCGTGTATAAATATCCAGGTATTTCCACAAATTTCTCAATAATTCCAGAAACGGGAACGTGGAATCGATGATAGTCCTGCAATAGAAAGTTCAGTTTAAAGTGAGATGCTACGTCGAGAAAATTAATTGTGCTCCAGCAAAAATAAATAAAAAAATAAAATAACGAAAAACTAATAAAAAATAGTACCTGGGGAGCCAACCGAAATATCACTAGACTTCCATTAACGAAGGCATCCGAGCAAACTTCAGTCCCCAAAAGACCTTTTATAGAAAATTTCCGGCCCTGGTGCGATAAACGAGATTCTGTAATAAAAAAAAACATATTCGACGAAAATGAAATAAACAATATTTATTACCTTAATCCAAAATCTAATAGAATCTGAAGCAGATTCAAATGCAGTCAAACGGCTATCGGCCCCACATACTGCCACGTCATCACACTCAGGGCTGGCGATTGGCCTAGCACCTGGCTTTAACTCTCGTATAAAGAATTCATTAAACGTCTGCAACCGAGAAAAAAATAATACATAAGTTGAATAAAGTAATAACATAATTAACTGTACGTAAACGAGACTGAATACGATATAATATATAGTCTCGAATTGATACACACCTTAAAATTCTCCAGAGGGTATTTGACTTCAGACATATTTAATTGATCCTGCAACACAATCAAGAAATAGTGTCAGGACAGAGAACGATCGTAAAAAGAATAAACGAGCGTAGTTCGTGGTCAAAGGTTAATATCATCATGCCTTAAACGACTCGATAAACTTTGGTATATTCTTAGCCGATTCAGCTGTGTCCATTTTCCTTCCTTGCTTTTCTGAGATGCTTTGCAGGAGTTCTTTTACACCTGCATCCGTATACGAACTCGAATAATAAGTATATATATGCATGGTGAAAATTCAAATTTATTAAGGTGACGTGACACGATGAATCGAGAATTAAACGCGAACCTATGTCCATGAGGCCAAGTCCGACTTTATTTTGATAAATTGCTCTCATCGATAAAACAATCTTGCCATCGATTATTTCCTCGACTAATGTCCTTCTTCGTCGATCAAAAACCTGAAATCAAGAAAAATTCAGTCATTGTCGGAAAAATCTGTACTTTCGTCCAGTTAACAAGGTTATGTCACTCGACGAATAGCAATGAATGGAATAAGATCAAAATGTTATAAAAAATACATCGAAAAAAAAAAGAAATACCAGAATATGTGAAGCGCTCGATCCAGACCTTAAACCAACTTCATACGACGAAAAATGAGCCCATTCACTTACTTTAAACATCCACCTTCAAAAACAAGGTATTAAATTTTCACGAGTCAAATGAAGAACTCGGGAATATTATTTTAATTTATTTTTGAGTTTTTACGAGTGCTGACCCGGTTGAAGCTTGCTTGTCGGTCAAGAAACCACCCGTCATAACCTGACTTCCAGTCCCTTCGTCGAAACAGAGAGTCAAGTGAACCATAGAATTCAACCTTTCGGAGACTTTGAGAACTTCACCGCACACGGGACAGCAGTTAAGAAGTGGGCCCCCCCTGCACTCAAATATGTGTTGTGTTATAAAAGAAGACTTAAAAAGAAATAACCGATATTTTGAGGGGATACTTACTTTTCTTGTTGAACAGCTAGAAGCATAGCCAACTCATCCATGCTTACGTTTCCATCCCCGTTCACGTCAGCAGCTTTGAAAAGCTCCTCTTTCTGAGAATTAATTAAAAATGACCGAAGAGAGAGACAGAGAGAGAGAGAGAGAGAGAGAGAGAGAGAGAGAGAGAGAGAGAGAGTGTTCATACTAATATACAATAGTAAATGAAACATACTAAACTTTCAGATGTTCAGATGCAAACCTTGTTAGCAGCCAGTTGATTGCCGAATGCGTTGATTAGGTCGGAGAATTCATCATATGAAAGGTTTCCATCTTCGTCATAATCCTGTACAAAAAGAAAAATACGACACATACAACTGCATTATTAACCAAAAATATATACATACGGCGCGCAAAGCGTTATTACATACCACTAAAGACAATATACGTCGCGCAAAACTCTTTTCTGTTTCCATTGGGTCCTGCAAATGTTGTTATAATGAGTTAAAGACATAAAAACGGTGTGTGTGTGTGTGTGTGAGTGTGTGTGTGTGTGTGTGTGTGTGTGTGTGTGTGTGTGTGTGTGTGTATTCCAAAATGAAGGCATTAAATGTAGTTGCACCTCAATGGAACACGACAAACTTATAGTGCCGACGATTACGCTGAAGACGTAGGTCCTCA